TTCTACGTTTATTATACGTTTTTTAAACATATTATTTCCGTATACTTTCCTTATACATATTATTTATAGGGATATTATATCATCACACGTGATATTTTTAAGATTTACGACAAGAACGTAATATATGCTTTATTTAAGAAATAAAAAAACATTGCTAGAGCAACTAATACATAAAAAATTGTGAATAGATCACTATTACATGATGTGAATATAGATATAAAAAATATAATTAATAAGAGTGTGGACCCGCTTTTAAACGCATCCCATCATTTATATATAAAGGTCGCTAAATTTATTTTTCGAAACCCTGTATTTTACAAAATAAAAAGATAAGAACAATATCACCTTTGCCTATTAACAACATCATAATTACTAATTTAGATTCTTAATATAATCCTTAAGTTCTAATGCTTATCTTAATGTCATTCCGTATTCCTTAAATTTTTATCCAATTAGCATGAGGAATGATTGACCAGTGATTTTTTCATCCTCAAGCTTTGTAAAAAAGCCATCATTAAGACCTAAGTCTTTAAAATTTTTATCACTTCGCAAAAATTTGATAAGTCTATCCGTTTTCCATCCTTTTATAATGTCAGCTGGAGAGGAGGTGGAACTTTTTTCACTTGTTGTCATGGAAGACATCTTGCTTTCCTAAATACAAGAGCCCATAGTGAGAAAAACTCGCTCTCATATATAATTTAAGGCATATTATACCTTATTTTATGTTATTTTATGGAAAAGTTTTTTGCGGAAAGTTGGCTGAACTTCCACATACCATTGCATGCTTTATAATTTGCTGGAAAAAAGTTAAGGAAGTATGAGGCATGATTAGTATTGTCATCTTATGCCAAGAGTTCTATGAAAGTATATATAAACAGAACTCTCATACCTTTTCACATGTAGATCTACCGGAAAGACATAGTTGGTTTTACGCCTGGCGATCTTGAAATTGTAACTCCCTCAGCCTTTCATAACATATGCTTTTGACGATACTATTTACTTATGGGGAAGGTCCTGTGTTGCAACTAGAGCTTCTTTCACATTTTTCTCACATTTGTTCAGGAAAAAATAAAGAATGAATGTTAATATGTTTTCTTTCTCAAATATATATGCAAAATTAATATGTCATACAGACCTATTATGTGATCAGCCTATTTTTTGTTACACAATACGTGGCCCAGCAAAAAATCTTCTTTCAAATGAAGCGATCACTGCTCCGGTTGATGATCAATATTCCGAACACAAAATTGAATGTATGCTAATCAGATAAACACAATCATGACAAGCAATACTAATAATAATTCTGATCAAGTCGATGATGAGCTATATGAAGAGCTTTTATATGAAGTATTTTTATATAAGAAGAAAGATATAATAGCTATTCAGGAAAAACTCGGTATGACCCCTCTGGGACCAATTAATGACAATACAAATCAAACAGCATTGAATGATAGCAAAGGAAAAATACTTAAAGATTCATTTCGGCTGTTCTTTGATTTGGTGGAGGAATTAGTACAGATAGTACAGATAATGGAGAGGTCCAATGCGCATATCCTTTCTATCTATTCTATATTATATCGAAATAAACAAGATCTCGTTAAAGTAACATGTGAGGGAAAGTATAATACTTGGGGAAATTTATCATTTGCTTTTATATTTGGAATGGGATATAAGCTTAATTCACAGTGATCTTGGTATTGTCGGTTATACTAATTCAGAAATAAGTGGATTAAAAGCTGATAAAATGCAAGAGCATATCTTCAAAAGTTTAGACAGTCCCTTAGGAGATGTTTCAAGTGTGGTAATACAGAAGTTCATCAATAGGAAGTAAAAATATTTTATTTTACTGGAAAGTAACTACCATTATTTCAATTGTGTAAAAAATTCAGCTAGTGCCTGTATCTAGAACAGATTAGCTAATCTATATTTTTTGTCGCATAATAGGTCCAGCAAAAATCGATGATCACTGCTCTGGATTAGTTAGATCGGTAGAGTACCACCATTCTGCAAGGTTCCAACGGATCATTCCTTGGTGATCGTTTGTTAGGTTGCCAGTTTATATAAGATGTGTTGGGATTAAGACCCGGTAAAACTGAGATAGAACCAAATTCTGATTATTAACAATAGCATCCTCCCTATAAATAATATGTATAAGGAAAGTATACGGAAATAATACGTTTAAAAAACGTATAATAAACGTAGAAAAACA